GAATGACTCGGTCCTACTACTTGTAGCGCCTATAGGCCCTCCCTACTTGCTATTCTCCTTTAGTATACGTTAACATCCCTTGTCCCTACCCGTTACGAATGAATTTCATTTTCCAGCAAAACGTTCTTTAAGCCATGTGGAGAATCGTCGAAAGATCTATCTATGGCCATTTGTGACATTTGTATCGACACCTTCTACCACCAACAGCAGTGGGAGGGAGGGATCAGTTGGAAGCTTTATCAACCAAACAAGGCAGAGTGAAGGTGCCAGGGTCAATCGACATTGCCGAGTTGGGGTTCAACAAACACTTCACGACATGAAGTGTAAAGTGGAAATAAACATGAAGTCTTGGCCAGGTTGCATTGGTCTTATGAGTCATACGCTTCATGTTCACCTCGCACTGAAATGAACCAGTGGCGTGACATTTCAACTAGTGGAGCACTGTCTTGGACGCAGCCAAGCAGATTGCCTGTAATTTCAACTCATGATTAAATACGCGGTTCCTTGAAGGTAAGGTCGGGGGACCAAATAATGTGAACCCGTGCAATACCAAAGACTAAGTTTCTTTGGGTTGTTGAGAGTTAATCGGGATTGGTCGAATTAAAAGAGCGAAGGACGGGGAGGGATCCCAAAGACTAAACTTTTCATAGAAGAACGTCAAGTAGTGCAGGAGAAAATCGAGCCAAAAAAACATGCAAAATTAATCGGCGGGTTCTGGCACATCACAAAATTGGCTAGAAGGTTTATTGAGCAGCGGTTGGTATTTCAGTAAATAGTTTTGCATATTTACGAGAGTTCCTTTGTCGTGAGTTGACTTACAATATATACATTGTATGTTTTGAAGCTATTTGGAATTGAACTCTTAATTATTGCAATGGCCACACAGCCACACAGCTAGCCTAAGATTCTGAAATGAACTACTTCTTTGACAGCAGTAATGCTAACCTCGGATTAATCACACACCACTACAAGGCCCAGAAGGTGATGAACACACACAACGGCAGGCCAGTATAAGGTTGGCAGATGGTGTGAGCGTGTGGCGAAATTTCCTGGGAAAACAACGGGCAGGATGCGAAGTGCACTGACGGGGTGTGTGATATATCACTATGAGCAGCAGCGGATGGAAGGGCAACAAGGAGTAATATGCATGGCAACCACAAAAACTGGAGTGATTTTGCGCGTGTTGTTCCATGAAAGGGACATTGGCGTATTCAAGGTAATGAGACATGTGGAAGCAATTTGCACAAACAAATGAGGTCAAGCTCAACAAAAGAGAGGCTGAGTTGCAGGTTGGGTCCAATAGAACATGACATCCATGGTTGGTTATTGATTCACGTATTTTCGCGGCTCCAAGTGCCATTCTTCTCAGGAGCCCAGTTTGCTTCAACCTGCCGCTTTGGTTCCAGCCAGATCCCAGTTATCACCTGGACATTGAGTTTAACAAATTGCGGGGTTCCAGATCAGTGTAGGTCTTGGTTTGTTTACATGTTTGTTGCGTCCCCTAGTTTGCGAGGCAGCATCAGTTGTTTTGAGAAGCAGCAGGAACACCCAAGATGATTCGTAAACCAACTGATAGCCGATAGCCTACGTTTCGACTCCTTGAACTTGTAGACTTTTAACAATGCCTGCAGTTGACCAATTGATAGTTGCAACATACCATACCTATTTGATTCAGCCATTGCATTGTATCGCACGATTGAATTGGATTCTATTTGTATTGCATCGTGTTGTTTGTGTTGTAATCAATTACAACATATTACAACCCGCCATCTGCCCCGAGCCTGCAAGAGGCCCATGGCCAAATACCCTGATGAAAACATACCCGGAAATTGCAATATGTCATTTGGTCGCTAACAACGCCGGTAGCTTAAACAACCAAGCTGATAATACGTGCATTGAATAAGCGTGGGGCAGGGCAAGCAAGATGCGAAGAAATTGTCTGACACAACACAACAGCACTTACTTTTACTCTGACTCAAAAGCAACAACGACCACTTCCACGACTACTAACTACCAACTACTAAGATTACTAATTAGGTGCACCGCCCATAACGGGCCGCGGTGCGAAATGACAATTCTGATCAACAAAGTGATTTGAATGCACGTAATTAGCTTGGGGAAGAATCGTTCAGCGTTTTCAAGGATTAAATGAATGGCGTAATTGGGGAACAACTCAGTCTCCTGCGCACTGTGCAGTAGAATGGACACTTCGACAGTCAATTCAAGTTGCCCCCAACTATTGAGGTTTGGAACTTTCTAGGGTTATGTATATAATCCATTATTGTTGGATCTATTGCCACACAAGCTCCTGTTCATTATGTTAACATGCATCATCTATATACACTATCCTCACGCATTGTAGGCAACGATGTCTTCCAGTTACGTAGACGTGACGCGAAGATCACCCGTCTTCAAACAACAGAATACATTAGATACCCACCATTATGTGCCTTTTAAATACGTCGCTGAAATGGTTGTTCAATCCATGACAATGTCGTTATGGGTGGTTGTCCAACTACTAAGTACTAACTACTAACTAACTGACTGACTGACTAACTAACTAACTAGCTATATAGCTAGCTAGCTAGCTACCTAACCAACTAACTAACTAACTAACCAACTAACTATCTAACCAACTAACTAACTAACTAACCAACTAACTATCTAACCAACTAACTAACTAACTAACCAACTAACTATCTAACCAACTAACTTACTTACTTACTTGCTTGCTCACTTAACTTAAACTGAAACTTAACTTAAACGTATATAACTATATAACTTAACTTAACTACATAACTTAACTTAACTGACTAACTACGACACTACGACTACTGCTACTCGCCCGGTTCGTCTCCTGCAAACGATTGGTTGATTTTGTATGGCTCTCGTTTGTTGAAGACGTAACCTTTGAAGGTTTTTGTCTTGAAGACGGACGGTCTTTGATTTGTGGCATTCGTTCCGCAGAACCGACGACACCACAATAAATACGTAGATTAGTAGATGTGTGCTTCATTCCCACACTCAGAGCTTGCAAAGCTGCTGTGCTGTATGCGGGAGCAACCTTTGGGTTCCGATCTCCCATCTCCATTGAAAGGGTCAACAGTACCGCCACTGAGCCGTTCCTTCTTTGGCTCGAGAGTATTCGATGAACCTCCAGAGTTCCGTTAGCGGGAGACACGTCAGGTGCCACCAAATTTGACTCTGCAGCGTGATGCTTTGATGTGTTTTTGTTGTTCTGTTAAATTTCTCTTGTTTTGGTGCGCTTCGTTGTGTTTCATTTTGTGTGGACCTGCACGTGTTGTTGTTTGGGAGTGTAAACCTTTTTACCGTACATTGGGTCAGTGCATTGACATTTTGAGTTCGGAACATTCAAACATTCAAGGGCGTCCTTGCTACTAGTAGCGATGCCCTTTGCTCCTAGTAGCGTCCTTGTTCCTAGTAGCGATGCCAGGAGCCCCTAGTAGAGATACCCTTGCTACTGGTTTGTTTGCTGTTGAAGTTAAATCTTCTTTGGAAAACGACGGGTGTTGGGATAATTGGGGTACCTTTTGAGCAACATGTCAATATTTTTGCATCTGGGTGGTGTTGCAGTTGGAACTGTCATCAATTTTTATCGTGTTTTTGTTCTTTTCTTTTTGCACACCGTTTATTGTTTAACGTTTGCGCGGTTGTTTGCTGCCCTGTTTTGTTGTTTTTTTAAATGCAACATGTACCGGTCCCGGAAACACACACCTTTTGTCGTATATTGCCACAGGGATGAACTCTTAAATCTACTTTAAAAGGCTGCCAAAGAATGGGACGGAATGGTTGAACGTAGTGTTGAAATGCGACCGCATCTCACGTTTTTTGCACCTGACCATATGACATGACATTGCAATTGCGCCGGGCCTTTCACAGCGCCTGTATCTTGCGTAAGCAAGCAGATGTCATGTTGATGCAAGGGCAAATTGACATGCCAGAAGACTTGGAAACAATTTTTCAGTACGTCCAAAAATAGGACAAGCAAGGCACACAGACACACACACACACACACATGCAGGTCATGAGGCCATGCAAAAGCCCGCTAAACAGTCTTGATCATGAACCTGACACAATCAACACATGGACCGAGTTTTCTTTTGCTCCAGCAGGAAGATCGTTCGCTCTTGCTTGACACAGGTCGTATTTGTGAAGTTATTTCATGTGGCAGTCGTACAGTTGTTGCTGATGCAACTTATAGACAAGTCATGGTCCACTTCACGCTTGGGTTTCAACAGCTAAGCAACACTGTGCAACACGATGTTGCAGTGTAATTATGCATGAAGCGCTCCAACGTCATGCACTCATACACCACGGTATGCAGGTAGTCACTCAAAAGAGATCCAGCAAGGGTGACCTGGTTTTACAGAACCTCACGTATAAGACCGTAGATGACTCCATCAAGCCCCTCGAAAACATTCTGTGCTTGAAATAACAACCCTACCAGCAGATTCAACGAGTTTAGATTGCTGTCCAGGGCACCATAAAAACAGAAGAACAAATGTACTTGAAAGGGCCGACACGCGGCGTTGCCGAGGCCACGGCCACACATCGGGACTTGCCTCCAGATGCACAATTCTGAGCGTTGGCCCCAAGCTGGGTGCATGTTTGAGCAAGTGTTGTAGCCCTATGAGCATTCTACTTGCTTTCAGTATGGTCGAAGTAACATGCAAAAGCAGCTGACTAGTGTGGAAAGCAGGCGTTAGCGATTGGCATAGAGTATCCTTTGATCCGCAGGAGCCTTTGCTTTAGTTGACAGCCAACACATCAATAGAATGCGTAAAACGTAAGCAAGGAGCTCCTTATGTAAGAATCCAATATCCTCTTCGAAACAGTTGTACTGACAATCCCTCCTAGGCACTTCAGGAAGAGCCTACACAGATCATCACCTAACAGACCTATGGTAAGTACAGTATCGCACTGGAAGGTTGCATGTCGTGGCGGACTGTTTCATGCAATGCTGGGTGACCAATTGCAGAGCAGTAGTTGCTACATTTCTCACATTCATTTGGCAATGGAGCTCGTCGAACGCAGAGACTGTGCGAGGGACTTATGATGCTGAAGTCAGATGAAACCATGTTGGACGAACATGGACGTCATAGAAGTACCAAAGAACCATTGTCGGCGATTGTTTCAAACTTGCTTGATGATCTTGATGGTAATTCAGTATGCGTCGCTTTTAGGAGAATCTCGTGAGGAGTTTGGCAGAGGCACGGGGTGATGCTGTAATGCTTCATGCTTGACACTTCTAAACAAGAAAACACTTAATAACGAAACCACGGCTGTTTTGTGATCTAGCTGAGCTCTTGAACTCGTTCTTATATTGCTTCCACTTGTTATTGCTGGCAATATCGTCAAAGGACAAATCTTCTACTTATTTATATATATATACACCTTCCACTTGAATTTTGTCTTTTGTAACCTTTTGTACATATATTGTATGTATATATATAAAAATATTATATGTATATACAAAGCATAATAGTTATTATCCAGCTGCATCTTCAAAGTGACCTCTGTAGAGTGCCCAAGTGACCTTTCACAGGCCCACGTGACCTCACACTGGGATATCAAGTGGTCACTTTGAAGAACCAGGTAATATAGATATATATATATATGTATTCATACATACAGTAAATGTGTTAACGAACTCCCGATTGCATTGTGTTTCCAGTCGTGCCAATCGGCAGCACTAACCTGTTCCGCCCAGTACTGCCATGTACAGAATACACATCCAGACAACAGCAAGAAACAATGATTTCATCAGCGGTGTCTAGTTCGGGTATATTTGCCCAGGTAAGGGTGTAAGCCTGTGTATGCTTTGGAACTTGATCGCGCTATTATGAGTTGAAGTTCAGGAGCGTGCTCAGCTGCTGAACTTGTCAATTCAGCAGCATGAACATTTCAAGACATGTTTGGAGCTTCTCGGCAAAAGTCAATCCTTCTGTGGCAAACGCAATCCAGACATTTACGCAGGTTCTTTGGGCTTACTTGGCTTGACCTTCTTGACTCCGTCTCAATTCTCCGTGAAACGTCAAACTGTGATTTTCGCTCTGCAAATGAGACAGACCGATATTTCTCAGCAGATTCAGTTGCCGATAAAATCTTAGGCTGACTTTTGGGAAACTGGATCAAACATTCAGAGGGTCAGTATCCTCACTGCCCGTCCAATTGGGGACCTTGAGATCTACCGCGCCGCCAGTGCTGTTGCTCGGCTGACCTGAGCATAACATTGAGGGATTGCAATCCTGAGGCCCCCATGAATTGTCATTATGACAATCATTTTGCAAGCAATGAACTGTTCATGTGTTTACCAACCATAAGTGGTCCTTCTTAGGACCATGATGTATTGCATGATGGTTCGTCATAATTACTGGTTCACAGCTGGCGAACAGATTCTTCACTTCGACCTAAAATTGTAGCAAGACACCAGGAGGCCATGATTCAAAAGCAAGCTTGGATGCAGTAGTTTGTTAAGCTTAGCTAACTTCACAGGCAGAGCTGAGAACGTCACAGGCTCCACTCAAGATAACTTTGCAACTTTGTGATGGTGCTTTCACAAAGGAAAGCAATGTCTAGCATGTTCTGCCTAAGGGGTTGAGGGGGAGGGACACCAGGGCTTGCATATACGGTAGAATGCATGTAAGTACGCACAAACATGTAGTTGGCTGTTGATCCACAATCAGCTGTGTAAGAAGATACGCCTTGGAATGCAAGAAGAGCCCCCTGGAATGCTTGACCGGAGCAACATTTCGGCAGGGCTGAGAGGCAATGTATCAAGACACTCGAATGATTCGGGCCACAAAAAGCATCGAGGCCGGAAGATTCTGACCCGGTTCCTGCGAAGCTCGGTGCGAGGATTAGTCCAGTTCAGTCCTCTAGTAGTGTTTATATAGTATCTATATTTCTGAGTGCATCATGCAAGATACAAAGCACACAACATTACGCACTCTGACATTGGTTTGCTGTTAACTCAGTTCCCAAGTTAAAGAAAGGTGGTGGAACAGAAAGGCGAAGAGTCCAAACATTTGTAGGTGTTTGAACAAAGTGGTTTCACACTTGACTGCGGAAACTAGTTATAGCCCTTTACTGCAAGAACGGTAAGGTGCAAGGGTCCGAAGAACAGAGCTGTTTAACAAACGCACTAACACTTTACCAAAGCTAAGGAAACCTGTTTTGCGGGATATCATGCGAACAACCACTACGGAAACAACAAAAGGGAAAGTGGAGTCACAGCGTGTGCAAAAGGTTTCATCCGCGCAGGTACAGAAGTTTGCGTCCAAACTTCCATCCAGTCGACTTCCCTAGCTTCGTTGGCGTGACTAGGAAATCAACCGTCACGCCCCCTGCGACTTAAAAGTTGAGTAAAACAGAAACTCTTAGTTACAGAGGTGGACACACACAGAACGCCGATATCGGTTCTCTGGGGGATCTTGCTAATCACCTAAAAAGCCTTAGAACGAAAGGAAAGAAAGACAGAAAGGAAAACGCAAAGGAAAGAGGGAAAGATAGGTGTAGTGACAAGGCCCACTACTTACGAAACCTGCTAGTTTCTGACTACTTAGCCGCATGAATTAAACGCACTAGTTAGCGAGCGGGACATACGTCTTAAACCGCCCGGGTAGCTAGGAGTAGAAAAAGAGAAACAGAAGGAAAGGTACCGACACACAAGTGTGTCGAGTACCATTTCCTTCTGTTCCCCTAGATACCGGATGGGATAGAAACACGAATTAGGTTGCAAGGTGGGGGGGGGG